TTCATTTAAGGAAAGCCCCATCCACATCTTACAACCAGCCAAAGTCACACTCATATCCACACCCACACTCATACCCAAACTCATACTCACATACACATTCATTGTAAACTATCAGTTACTATAGGAAACGTTTGAGGAGAGCTCTTAATTATTCAAGATTTATTTTTATCTCAAAAGATTAAAAATGTTGAAATTTCGATTATAATTATTTTTCTTGCATCCGAGAAAATGACATGTCTGCCTTATTTTGCTTTTAGAAATGAATAGATCCAAATATCAAATTGTACTGTCGTGTAGTATTCGTTGTGGGCTACTCGCCACACTATAAAAAAATTTGAAAAACACTTGTATAGAAAATAAAACCTGCAGAAGAAGTTCTGCAAGTTTTTTTGCAAGCACCTGTACATCGTTATTATAGATCACTGTTGTATCAACCGAATACATACAAAAATTGTTATATCAGATTCGCATACTACAAGTTTGCATCATATACCAAAATAAATAAAGCACACAATTTCACTAGTTACATTACAGTACTAAGCAACTACAATTAACGTCAATACATTACAGGCCATCCTTCATCATATATTATATCAAATCCAAATCAAAACGTCCAATCCACAACACAACAATCCCCACCATATGAATTTCTTCCATAAGACATAAGACATTTGTCAAGAGTGTCTCCGTTTTCATCCAACTTTTTCAAACTTTTCTTATTTTTTGCTTCTTTTTCAGTAACATTATCATTTATAAATAAATCACTTTTTGTCCAAAAAGCAAACATTTTGAAGGTTAAATTCAACAACATACTCAAGAAGTGATACAATCGGTTATCGTGAATAATTATTGAAACAGATGGAATAAAACTCCGGTAGATGCGGGCGTGAGTGTAAGTAATGACGTGAATGAAGAGAAAATTAACAATCAAAGCCACAGCCACACACACTCAGTGGTGATTGCGAAATCTCAATTTCAATCACAATCAAGCACGATCATTTCTGATGGTGATTGTGGATGTAGCGTTAACGCAGAACACTACAAGTGAATAAATATACCGTATTTCGAAAAATCTAACACATTTAGTTTATGTCTGACCAAAGTCTTTCATACGTGCTTTTGTCATTAAATATAGAGAATGTCAGCAACTTTATTATGAAGATAATTTACAAGTGTGAATATCATTTTGTAAAGTCAATACATGTCACTAATTGAAATACATATTAGTTAATCGTACAATGAAAGTTTTTTCTTGCAATAAATACAGTTCTCATTTAAAACCGTCTGAGTTCGTGCGGTGATACTTGATTTTTTTCTGCAGGTTCAGAAGGTTTACTCGAACGTTTTGTTACAGAGTGATTCATTTTGACTAAGAACTTATTACAACATGGTACTGAATATAAACGATATTTTATACCTCGCTTCCATGCAAATAATAGTAATGATAGGGCAATAATCACTGCAAAGACTATAAACAGTCCACCCATTGATGGAATATCCATTGCAGTAGATGTACTAGTTGAAGAGACAGGACAATTCTGTGATTGAAACCATTTTCGTTGTAAAGTATCAAGAATACCTGATTTGCGTAGTGCCAGTATTTCTATATCTAAAGCTTGTGCATAGTTCCATTCTAAAGGTGTCACAATACCAAATACACCTTGATCAAAAGATTGACCAACTAAAGTTAAATTACAATATATATTATTCGTCACATATTTACCAATGCCACTATCGATAAAAGAAGCATCAATGTTGTTTGATAGTAAAGCATCATATGTTGCTTGTTTAGCTGGTGGTAATTGATAAAAATTGTACACGCCATTAGAGATTTTTTGTAAATAAAAGTCTTGACTAGCTGTACCTACACGAATACCAATACGACTAGACGGCATCTTTCCAACTTTGATATCATCAATTCCAGAAATAGGAAACTGTGATTTTTGTACTGTTAGAGCAGATGCTAAGTTTGCAGTATACGATGCCACTAATACAATACTTAATATGTATATACCAAGAGTTAATAAGCGTCCAGCAGCTGTCTTTATGTGAAAGTCTACACCATATCCAAGAATATTTACAATACAATACCACCAACTCATTGCATATATAGAAATTATTGACTTATTTTGTAATGCTTCATTTGTTTCTCTTTCTAACAGACAGATTATAATAGAAGCAATGGCAGTAGTACCTATGCTCAATAACCAAAGATTACGTGAGAATGGTTTCATGAATCCAAATAAATCGAAACTAACAGCAGGAGTATTTCGCATAATAATGTATAAAGAATTATCAAATATTGATTCTGAAAAACCAACTATCTTGCGTCTTGCAGAAGTAACTGACACATCACCTATTACTATATCATAATCACCATTTGCTACTTTTCGAATTATTTGAGTATAGGTTAGATTTAATGGTGCCAATCGAATATCTGCAATAAATCCCAAATCAGTTTGTAATTGAGTAATAAGATCAGGTACATAACCAGTTAGCGGTGGTGTAGTCTGTCCCGATGAACCTGTTCTAGTATCAACTATTGTGAATGGAAGTGATGAAATTACACCAATTCGTAAAGTTACACCATTAAGTGATGCATCACTACCAGGAGTTATTAATGAATTACCCGGCCAGATAATAACATTTGTTCCTGCATATGTTTGCCAACCACCATTCTCAGTATAGGTCAATACTGGCATAAAAACTGTATCATTTGAAGCAGATTGAGCATTTTGTGCAAAATAATACGCACCACCTATTCGATCAGTTGTATTAACACTGAATTGTATAGAACCTGATACACCAAGAAATGTCATATTATTAATTATATCAAATAACGAATTCGAGTTGCAGAAACGACGACAAAAACAAAATGGGGAACCAACAAATGATGTACATGAAGGAGAATTATTAGTTGTTGTTGAACAAAGTTGTTCTAATGCTTGAATTAATAACCAAGTGGTATCGAATGCAAATAACGCATAATTATCTATATTTGTTAATCCAGGAAATGTTTCATTCTCATATTGTTGCCATATGTTACATGCTGCATTTAACAATGTTGTATTAATTGATGCACCAATATTACTTGCTACTGCAGGTTCTACAGTAAGCATGCCAATTAATTGCTGAGAAAATTTCGGATCAAAAGAGTTTAATGGAATACTTGAACTTAGTATCCAAGTAAATTTTGGACCAAGTACATTAGAATCAAGTGCATTTTGTAAAATTAAAGCTGTATAACTTGGATTCGCCCATAACACCACAATACGTGATGAACTACCGATTAAAATAGTGCTCAATTTACCTTCAATACTAAGTGTTTCAATATCAAATACCACCAGTTTAGCCACTGTTAAACCATTTTTACTTAGCGCATCTTTTATTGCATTTGCACCATTAGTTCCAAATAGATCATTTTGATAAATCAGTATGCATGAAGTCCATTTAAATTGAAGAAATAGTTTTGCAATTGCTATTGCAGCAGCACTATCTGAAGGAAGTGTACGATAAAAAGTAGGGTATAAGTTTCGATTAGACAAAGTGGGATCAGTTGCTGAATATGTTACAGCAGGAATACCAACTTTTTTAGCAAATTCAGCTATAATAGGACTTTCTCTTGATAATGATGGACCCACAATACCAAAAATGTTAGAAATAGATAATACTTCACATACACCACTAACAGCATCAATTGGACTGCCACCAGTTTGTACCGCTTGCCATCCTATGGATTGTCCTTCGATTGTTATATTATATTGTTGAGAAAGTGAGACTGCTGCCTGGAACATCGCGCGAGAATGAACTGATAAAGTCGTCGGGTAAGATGTATTTTCTGCATCGTAAAACAGATCTACTAGTTGAATGTTGGACATGTTTGATGTTGGCCAACTTGTTATTACATAATGTACGTGAGGTTGCACGAATATAAAATGTAACAACAGCCATCGACAGTTCCAGAACAATAACATGGTTATTTGAGTATTCCACAAATAAGAAAGTTGAATCAAATATGAAAAAGAACAAAGTATGCTAAGATATAGACGGAATACTATGCTAATATGTATTGTTAAAATAAATATTTCATTGATAGTTGACTCATCATTATCGAGGAAAACAGAACAAAGGACACATCTCATATTATAGTATCTTTAAGTCAATGAGGCATGCAAGAAGATGGACCTCTAGACAAAAACTTCAACAGTTTGATAAAAATTGCATTGTGTTCAGCAGAATTTGTTCCGCTAAATGTTATATTACAATATGGTACACATAATGCATCTCATCAAACATTAAACTTTAAAAACATATGGGTGCAGAACAAGCAAAAGAATCGGGACAAAACATCATTGAAATAAGCGATTAAAGTTGAACATATTGCATAAAATAAGTAATACACCGTACAATAAAGCAGAAGATATCATGCTCTAGAACCAGAGGTCGAAAACGAACCGAACCTGAACCAACTTTTTGAAAATAAAGTTGAACAGAACCGAACCCGAACTGACTTTTAAAAAATGCAGTCGAACCGAACCGAACTCAAACCAATTTTTCAAAAATAAAGACGAACTGAACAAAATCTGAAGTAATTTCGAAATAAAAAAGTCGAACATAGTTTAATGTCAGATGAAAAATAAGTGATTAAGCTATCATCGATTTAGAAAAGTATAATACCGTTGATGAAGACAAAAGCGAATATTTATCGATTGTTTCACGTGCTTAATTTAATATCTGCACATTGTAGTCTCTTTTTTCTCTTAGCTTTAGTTACACAAATTGTGTTTATGATGATAGGTGACTTATATGGGCCAAAATTCTTTGATCTTTCTTTCATAAATTTCTCTATTTTTCTAAAGTGCAATGGATAACCGTTCGTAGTGGTATGAGATTAGTATCAGTATTAAAAAATTTCTGATTCTCGTACATCAAACTTAACACTTTATTTTAATCTAAAAGTGTATTTATTAATGCTAAGTGATACGAATATGAACTTTCATGTGACGCTTCTGATCATCAGAGACTTAAGTTTTGACTTCTGGTCTAGTCTTAATTGAGTGACAGCAATACTACTCCAATCGAACCGACTTTTTAAAGACAAGCCGAACCGAACCGAACTCGATCCAAAAAAACTCGGTTCGATTCGACCTCTGTCTAGAACAAACTCTACTTCGGGAGCGCGTCAAAATGTATTTGGGTCATTCAGTCCCCATTCCTTCATTTCTCTACTCATGTATTTGTCTATTCTCGTTGTAATTCATTCTCATTCTTTTCTTCGTTTGTTTCTCTACATTGCTATTGTGGAACATGTGATTTTGTGTTATCTTTATTCGTTCACAGTTGAACTTTTTTTGATCACCTTTCTTCAAAGATAGCTAGTCACTCTTTTTGAAAGTATTATTCACTCATTAAGCTATCCATTGCACTTTAGAAAAATAGAGAAATTTATGAAAGAAAGATCAAAGAATTTTGGCCCAT